GAAGAACGATGATAACAAACAGGTTTATGTATTTGTAGCAATGTGATAAGAAATGATGATTTGTTTAATGCGGGGTTGAGGATTAAAAATGACGTTTGAATAGTCAACAGCAGTAAGTTGAGGGTAAAAAAAAAAGGAAACAGAGGTGGAATGATAATTTAAGAAAAATGTAGTAGGGAAAAACAGGTCGTTAGTTGGCTGGTAGTAAACTGTCAAATTTTGGATCCATATAAGCGGGAAAAGCAGCTGGAGTCTTGAAGCCTGAAGTTTGAAAGATTAGAAAAAAAATTGAAATCAAATGAAATAAAATTGAATAAAAAAACGGAAGATCATTGAGTGTGTGTGTGTATATGTATATATGTATGTTTTGTGTATCTGTGCAAATGTGCTTATGTTTGTGTATCGCTGTGTATGTATGTATGTAGGTATGTGTTTTTGCTTGTATGTGAGTGAGTGAGCGAGTGTGTAAGAATCCATCTACCTGAATGTGTATGGCTGGTCAGGGGCGTGACTGCACTGATATCATCAGTTGATCTTGTCTTTTCAGGATCCAGCAAAGCAGGGGGCTCCATTATCAATTATTTTTGTCCTAGTGTATTCTTCAGGATCCGGAGTAAGCAGCTCCTGTTTAGAACAGTACTTTCACCGCCAATAATGAGCAGTACATTACAGTATTTATGAGCAGCAGTAATAAAGAATTTTCTGATGAAATGACAGTTTTCCACTTGAGCGATGATGGATTTGTGAAAGAGGAAGCGTTTTTGATGAATTGTAGTTAAGGAGAAGAAAAAAGGTCCTTTTTCTCTTTGTGCGTGAAACGAATGAAAGGAAGGACGACGAAAAGAGAAAGTGAAAAGGAATAAAGTAAAAATATTTATTCAACTAAATCGTCAGCATAGGAAAGCAGAAACTCTTTTGTTGATATATAGTCAGTTGGATGAATTTTGTCGTTTTTAAAACGAACACGAATGAAATTGATTAAACGGAGAGGGCTTTTGCGATAGTTCAGTGCTGAAAACTGAGTGAAAAGTAAGCCGCAGTAATAATAATTGTTGATCATTAGTGATGATAACGAATTTTTGTTTTTAACTCAGCCAGTATTGAAGGTTTAAAAAAAGCAAAGAAGAAAAAAATTCAAGAAAGACAAAATGATTAGAGTGAAAAAGGGGAGGGAGAAAAATGAAGAACATATCTTTATTTCGCCAAACCATTCACCTATCTTCTTCGTCTTCTGTTTTACTGCATTTTCTCCGTTTTTATTCTCTTTATATTCATCGCTTTATTCTTCTCTCTGTCGTCTTTTATTTCACTAAATTTTGCTTCGAAGTACAAATTTTTTGCTGTTGCAGCAGATAATGCTGAGGTGGGGAGAGAATGGAGAGAGAGCATTCAAACACTGTCTGTCAATAAGACGTTTTGCTTGTAACTCATCTTTTTCTATCCACATTTGCTATTGTTAATGTTATCTGATGTATTGTATTATTATCGGATAGAAAAGCGGGAGAAAAAGTGAAGTCTCAGAACCTTGATATTTTTTTGATACGTATGTGCGTAATGATGGAGCAGGAGCGTTAAAGTGGCATATATCAGAGCTAAGGGTTGCAAAACTTTTGCAAACAACAGTGTTCCAAGCAGTTTTCTGAATGGGTTTGTTATCATTTAGTGCGTTTATCACACCTCATATTATATGCAGTTGTTGAACCTATTTTTTCACTCCTTTACCCTTTCTAATACCTGTCATTGCCTGTTGGTAATGGTTTTAACCATATTGGTCAGGTGAAGGTTTTTTTTCTTCTTTTGAAGTGCAATGGAAAATTAAGTTTCTTCTATTGTCTTATCGTACTTAGCTAAAACTCAGTGCAGTGGTTGAATATTTTTTTTCGCGAGAAATTTAAACTGGTGGGCTATGTGGTATATTGATAGAGGCTTTTACCAAAATAACCTTTATTGATATAGCGGTTATTCAGAATTGTTTATCTATCGTACAACAAGAACATTAGCTGCTTTACCGAAAATTTTGTTAGTGTCATCTTTCAAATTATTTTTTGATGAGTTTTTGCTTTGTTTTTTTACCTTTTCAATTGGTTTTGATGACCGATGGGTTTTGACGTTGAAGCTTGTACCGTAATAAACGAATGGAAGGTAGCCATAGCTTTTGTTTGCTATTTTTTATTTCTTCTTTTTTTTGGTATTTCAAGTGCTTCTTTTAGTTTGATGCATGAATTTTTTTTTTATATATTACTTATCCATTGTAATTTTACTGCATGTGTGCTTTGTTTTTTTTAGTTTACTGTGTCATTTAATTTTTTAATCCAGACATTTTTTATTACGGTAAGGAGGCGTAAAGTTACTTTTTTGAAAGTCTTCTTCATTTATCGCCTTATATTTTTAATCATATATCTAAAGTTGCTTATTTATTCTTGTTTGCTTTAGGAAGCTTTGGAACATGGAACACGAAGTTGGGTTGACGATTTGTTACATGCAGAGAATGTCTTCAGCAGTTCGGCTCATCCGAAAAATCTTTTTCCTACTCTTTATGTTGGTGAAAGTGACTTTGGATTATATGCAACATCGGCTTTTGTCGATGAGCGAACGATTACTATCGCACCCAAGTATATTGGCCCACCGCTTTTAGAGGGACCGATGCCAATTGCAGTACAGGTATTTGCTTAATAATTTCTGATGCAGCAAAGATCTTTAGTGAGTGTTGTGTAGCGGATTTGGTTAAGTATGACTATTTGTCAGGGTGCTTTTAATTTACGATGAGTTTGTGTTTAGACAGGTGATGCGCCACGCAACTTGCCGTCTTCCAGGCCTATTCTAAGGCTGGATTATGATTTTTCCACTATCCATCGAACAGAAGATGGAGAATTCCTTTTACTGGGTTTGCTTTTTTGAAATCACTTATCTAAACGTTTTTTTCATCAGGGAACATACTTTTTACGTATGCTGAGCAAAATAGTTCGTTACAGTTTTCCTTCCAGGATATCATGAGCCTCCGGAAACTGTTCGCCCACACTTGCTTTTCCCTGATCGTCGCCCATTTTCATCGATTCCCACTTTGACGTATGTTACAAATCATGGTATACAGGTTAGTCCTGAAAAAGATGATTTTTTAAGTATTTTTTAAATCAAAATTGCTGTAAATTACAATAACCAGCAAAAATTGTAGCCTGCTTCTACTCTACAAGCGGAAGAACATGAATGGACGTTTGATTTTATAATTGTACAGCTTTGGAGACATCATCCTAAATGGCTTGTTGGAATTGTGACATCTGTTCTTATATTAGTTCTATCGGTAGTGTGGATGTGTGGACGTCAGGTACTACTTGAGACGCTCGCTTGTCCAGTTGTATCCGTCTTAAAAATATTTGAAACTTGAAATTATTTTCATTATATTTTCTGGAAAATGTTAAATATAATGTAGTGAAAAGTAGGAAACCTATTGTATAATCAGGTTTTGTTAACGGACAGAGGATATTTCAATGTTTATTTCAGTCTGGCGCGTCATCGCTTCCTGGGGCTTTTGCAGAAACACGTTCTGCGCAGACATCGAAAAGATTTAGTCTTTGGCCTTTTAAGCAAATAGATAAAGAAAACGGCATGGTTCAGATTGGCAGTATCTGCTATGATCCTAGAGCTGTTCTTGGCCGTGGTTGTGAAGGAACAATTGTTTACAAGTAGCTACTTCCAAAACTTGTTTTTCAAGCTCTGCTTGGTTGGATAAGAAATTTGTTTCCTGAATTTAATTTCAAAATTTTTGTCACTGTCATTCCTCATTCAAATTATTTAGAGGGGTATTTGGTGGTAGAGATGTGGCTGTTAAAAGAATTATTGCCGACTTTGTGCGTCTTGCCGATCGAGAAGTTGATCTCTTAAAAGAAAGCGATGCTCATTCTCACGTTATCAGATATTTTTGCATGGTATTTTTCCAATATTTCTAAACAATAATTTTTTAAATGCTTTAAGGTAGGTAAAAGATTAATTTTTGGTTCACTTTGATTTACTAGATTTTACCTCCAGGAATCAGATAGCATGTTTCGATACATTGCTTTGGAGCTATGCAGTGCATCTCTGCAGGAATATGTCGAAAAAGAAGCAGTTCGTGAGAGATGTGTACTGAAACCAATGGAAATACTCTTTCAGGCTACGGAAGGTGTAGCTTACCTCCACAGTATTAAAATTGGTGCGTCATATGTCTTACTCAAAGTCACTTTCACTTTATTTTCGAAAGGAATCTTGATAAAGACTATACAATTTATAACAACATAGAAAAATTTAGTAGTGCTCATTTTAGTTCATCGAGACCTTAAACCACAAAATATTCTCTTTTCGATGCCTAACCAGCACAGAATAGTGAGGGTGTTGATCTCAGATTTTGGTTTATGTAAGCGGTTACAGCTAGACAAAAATTCGATTTCACGACGTTCAGGTTTTGCTGGTACTGATGGTTGGATTGCTCCAGAAGCTTTAGTATCTGAATCTAGTGTTGTAAGTTTTCGGAAGAAAATAAGCTACGCTACTTACCTTTTAAGCTTCAAAAATAAAACTTTTCCGAAATGTAAGTTGCTTATTTTATGTCACTGATATGACACCTTTCCTTTTTCTAAAAACAGGTATTATCTGATTTGGCTAAACCTGTTTCGTTACAGACTCGCGCAGTGGACATATTTTCATTAGGTTGTATCTACTACTATGTTCTGACGGAGGGGAAACATCCATTTGGTGACTCACTGCATAGACAAGCTAACATCATGCAAGGAGAGTACAGCTTGAAAGCATTGAATTTAACAAGTTCGTTTTGTTGTTTTTGAGTACTCACAGTAGGTTTGTTGTTTATTTCGATTTTTTTACGTCATTTTTATTTCCCATCACTGGTCTTCGTATTGCTATGAATATGTGATTTTTTCAATTCTTTAGTTTGTTGCGTTTAATTGCTTAGTTTCTGCTACTCACAACGCGCTACCTAATTTACTTTTAAGCAACTTTTTCATACAATCCAATTGCCGTTTCGCTGATCGAAAAAATGTTGCAAAGAGACTGGACTGCTCGTCCTTCAGCATCTGAGCTTTCAAAACATCCTTTCTTCTGGTCGAAAGAACAACAGCTTCAATTTTTTTCTGTGATATTTTATTTCATTTTCACACTGAATTTTTAGAACGAAGGAAAAAAATAACTTTACAATGTTTTTATACGTTACAACTCCTCCGTTTTTGATGCTGAATGTTCTAACCGCTATACGGTTTTTGTAGGATGTTAGTGATCGGGTTGAAAAAGAAGGAGAACAAAGTTTAGTTGTTACGCAGTTAGAGCGAAATTCACGTGGTATTGTCAGCAATAATTGGCGACAAGTTATCTGCCCTGCTCTAGCAGGAGGTTTAGTGCTAAATACTTATTTCCAACACTCCTATTATGAAAACTTTTTTAGGATGGTAGAAAAGTTCATAGATATTATTATTATTATTATTTTTTTTTTTTTTTTTTTTTT